ACATACACACATGCATGCATACATATGATATATGATATATGATTTATAAGACTCTCTGGTAAGCCCCCCCGGAGCTTAGGACGGAATATCCCTGCAGTTACTAGAGAGCCTGTAGAGAACCTACCCTGCACCAAGGCCTGTGCCCTTTACTAAAGACCCCTTACGAACCTTCGACCCTGAAATCGCAAAGCCCTGATTCCTACACCCTAGCCCTTAAATACGAAACCCTAGAACCCCAAACCCTGAACCCTAAACCTTAAACTTGCAACCCTTACCCTAAAGTGTGATTCAAGCCACAGACACCTCGAACCTCTGAAGGAAAGCTTTCGATCATTCCTGGAATGGTTTTGAGGTTTTGGGCTTACTGCCGTTTCAAAAAACCAAGGGCTAGAGGCGGCGTTTGGATTTTGGGGGTTTTAGCTTGGCCTTTACAGAAGGGGCGGGGTTGGGTAGCCTTTCTGGAAGACCCGTTCGAATCGACGCTGCAGACATGTGAGGACAACTGGTCCAGGTTAAGGGTTTAAGGGTTTTAGGGTTTTAGGGTTTAGGGTTCAGGGTTTTGGGTTTTAGGGTTTAGGGTTTAGGGTTCAGGGTTTTGGGTTTAGGGTTTGGAGTTTAGGGTTTAGGGTTTAGGATCGGCAGTTTCTGTGATCGTCTGGTGCGTGTGGCCAAGGGCGAGCAAGGGCTGCTCAAGCAGAATCACTGCCAGCGGGTGATGAGGACCTTGGCCCGAAAAATGTCGGGAGTGCCTTGTCAGAGGTGCAGAAGCTCATGCTGGAGGACTGAAAAACACCTGCGGTGCTCAGATCAATGCGGTCGACGATGTCATCTGCCTGGACGCTGATTCTTGGAATATGTCCAAGAGCAACTTCACGAAGCTGCTTTGAAACGTTTGCGGGGCGACGGCGGACTGTGAGTCTCTTTGCCTGGAGACCGAAGGCACCTCCCCTTCGCAAGCCCAGGTGATTTGCAAGTATGTGCCGGGCTCACTCTCCTGGTACACCTTCATGTGCTGTTGAGACATATATAAGTAGAAACAGAAGTCGACCAGTTTGTATATTCATGTCAAGCCCCCTCACCTTCCATTTTTGTAGCCGGCGGATTGCTTCGCCTCTATTGTCACTAATTTAGATTAATTTAGGTTCTAGATACTAACTTCCATTCGTCTTTTACCCTAAAGCCCTGGAAATAGCAACACCCATAGGGCTGGAACTTCCACGGGACGTTTATCCTAGAAAGATTGTATGGTAGCATCCATAGGTCCATGGGTCTTTTATCCTAAAAAACATTGTAGCTTCCCCTCGTCTTCGCAAGGCCCGAAGCCCTCACTCTGAGCATCCCTCCCGAAGCCACCCATAGGCCATAGGCCTTATAAGCCCTGAGCCCCGGAAGCCATGAACACCCCGTGACATCAAGCAAAACACCCTAAAAGGTGGGGGGTTTAGGGTTTAGGGTTTCTAAAACCCAAGCTCCATAAAGCCCAAACCCTGAAAGGCAAGCTCCAAGAGCCTTCTTGGACACCGAAGGCGTCGCCGCAACGACCAAGTTCGCTCCCGAGGGGAATTACAAGACGGGGCCGGATAAACGCATGAGTACTCGCCTTGCAGGGGTTGGGCTTGAAGGTTTAGGGTTTAGGGTTTAGGGTTTAGGGTTTAGGGTTTAGGGCTTGAAGGTTTGGAATTTTTAAGGGTTTCCGAATGCATACATACCTAAATACCTGCCTACCTACCTTCGTACCTACCTGCCTACCTACCTACCTGCCTGCCTGCCTGCATGCTTGCTTGCTTGCTTGCTTGCTTGCTTGCATATGCACATGCATATACATGCATAGGCACATGTGTATGTGTATATATATACACACATATGCATGTATATGTGTACTGTTGCTTAATTAACCTGATTACATGTACTTGCTTTGTATATCAAGCCTTCTCAGTAACAGCGCGGGGTCGGAAGTAACAGCGCGGGATCCGTAACGCTCTCAGCATATGCATATATATGTATATACACACATATTCATAGTTTTTGTTTTGTAACCCGTTAATGTTAAACATGTCAGAATTGTCTCTAAACTCTACGTCTTAGTTGAATTATCCAGTCTTGTATACTAGTTGGATTTTGAGGCCATACTTCAGCCCCAATGCAGGGAGCCCACGACCCCTTGGTGTAGCAAGATTCCTGAAATTAGATATAAGACGCCGCTTTGAACCTCAACCTAATAGGTTACTTGCCACATACGATGTACCCCAAGTAACCTACTAAAAAGGGTAGCATAGGTAGCTGGAGCTCTGGGGTAAGGTAAGTTCTTTATGAGGTGTGCGCAATCACGAAAAACGCTTACTTGGAGGTTCATGGGCAGTTCAAAATGGTGCTAGAAGTAGGGCATTTTTTTGGTTATAACCCATATTAGGGGACTTATGACCACACTTCTAACTACCCCTAAACCCTAAACCCTATAGAACCCTAACTACCCATGAACCCCCAAGAAGGAACCCTTAAAGGAACCCCTTATAACCCACTTATAACTACCCATGAACCTCCCAGTATAGCCAGACATCAATGCAGATCAGACGCCAGTCTTGCGAGGTTGCTTTGCATAGGGTTCGGGGGATTTTTGGGTTTAGGGTTTAGGGTTTAGGGGTTTAGGGTTTAGGGTGGGTTCTGTAAGGTTTTTCTGCGGCTTTGGTAGGGTTTTATACAGGTCGTTTAAGGTTTTCGTGGTGGGTTCGAATTAAAGGGTTTGGTGCAACATGGTGTTCTGGATATGTTTTTGGCTGGCGCTTTGGATCTGCTCCCTTCACAAGCTTCTGAGCGTCCGAAACCCTAAACCACCCCGACACCCTAAACCTCTAAACCCTAAGCCACCCCGCGACCCCAAACCCACGCACCTCAGAGTCCTAAACCCTGAAGCCGCGACCCCAGAACCCCAAACGCTCGAAGGCGAGAGTCCTGCTCTGCAGACCCTACAAGCCCTCAGAACAACCTCTTCGATTTTAGGGTTTAGGGGTTTAGGAGTCCAGTTCTGCAGAGCCGAACAACCCCTCACAGCATACCGAAAGAGTGGGATCTTCGAGCAACCCTGGGACCGAAAGCCTTAAACCTTGCATTAAACGCAGCACTACGACCCCCAATTCCTGAGAACACAACGGAAATATGTTACGTAAAAACTTCCCGCCTGTTGTCCCTATTGTGGGTATTATACGCCCAAAATCCCGGTTTAATAATGCAGGCCAGAAAGTACACAAGGCTCATAAAAACCTCATATTCGGACCCTGAGTGGCCCTCATCGACACTGCACCTAGCATGGAACAGTCGAGGCTATTCCGCGCCCAGAGGCCCTCAGTGCTTGAGGGGTGTTTAGTGATAGTGGGGCGGTTCTTGGTTGCTAGGCTTTTGTGTAATTTAGGTTTTGCAGTTTTTCACTTTCTGCATAGGGTGCGCGTTTTCTCTTTGCTGTGGGTGCAGGGGGCGACTGTTTTTGCTGCAGGTGCCGGTGCGTTTTTCGTTTAGAGGTGGGGTCTAGAGGAAGTCCGAATAGGAACCTCTGACCGCTTCGGCCGGGGGCCGAGGCGAATTATAGTAACTTGTTTTAAGTTCCTTAGCAGCAACCCTGTCATAAGACAAGACCAGAGTAGGCACCCCATGATATGGAGAACTCGAGCACCAGAAGTCTCGTAGGGTCTGGGGCATAGACCGATAGCCCAGGATAGCTCAAGTGGAGCACGAAGCCCTTTAACATTTCTGGGCGAAGCCCACACCGTAAACCCTTCGGTGTGAAGACTCGCATAATGACCACTCCTGGGCTGTCTCCCGTTGCGTTTTCTCACTCGTGGCAGTATAGGGGTTTGCTTTTTGGGGCGCCTACAGTTTAGGCTTTGTTCAGGCAGTTGTCAGACAGTTTGTGACCAGCCTGTACCGGTAGGCTAGCGGTATATGCTTTTGATGGGTGACGATAGTATAGAACCCCCCCCCTCCCCCAGAAAAAGACATTTTCATATTAAGTACGATCTAGCGTCCTCGAACCAACCCTGAATCATCGAACGAATCCTACAATGTTCAGGATTTCAGGTCCCAGGGCTTATAATAGGGCTTTGCGGTTTAGGGGCTTAGACTTTAGGGTTCAAGCCCCCCAAACCCTAAACCCTAAACCCTGAACCCTGAGCCCTAAACCGCTAAGTCCTCAGCCAAAACGCTACATAACCGACTTTCGAAGCGACATCCGACTGCTCAAGTCGTGAAAAGGTGCTGTTGGTGGACATGCAGACACCAGGCCCCGTATAGGGTTGAGGGTTTAGGGTGTCAGGATGCTGTAGTTTTTTTGCAGTGTGTGTTGTTCAAGAGTGCCTATAGATTGATGAGGCAATCAGAGAACGGTTTTAGAAGCGTGCTTACTTAAGAAGCCATTCAAGAGTTAGCTATTGTTTAGGAGCGATTTTGGCAGCGGCTGTGTAAGCTTATAGCAGTTTTCATGAGTCATGTAGAAGCGATGATAAGAACCAGTACGGTCTGCATAGTTCCCTAAGCTCTGTAGAGAGCCCGAATGGGCAAACAGCCTTTAAGTGCACTGCACGGCGAAAAGAGCAAGGGCTGTGCGCTAGTTCCTAAGCCGTCAAACGTGGGCCACTAGACCCTTCATCCTAAAATCCTAAACCTGTAAATGCTAGACCGCAGCACACAACCCCGCTACGTTACCTGCACCCCAAAAAGACCAGGAACCCGACAAAGGTAGGTTTCTTATAGGTTATAGAGGAAAAAACAAGGCCAAAGAACTCCACAACCGGTTTCGGATTCAGGCTTTAGGGTTCAGGGTTTAGGGCTTAGAGATTCAGGCCTCAGTGTTTGGTGTTGAGGGTATCCTGCGCAGACGTCATACACCAAAAACCCCAACCCTAAACCCTAAACCCAAATATCTCCTAGAGAAGCTTACATAAACCCTAAACCCTAAACCCTAAACCCTAAACCCTAAACCCTAAACCCTAAAACCTTCTGCTGGCCGTCATAGGTACCAGGCAACTCCCGCACGAGGAGGCTATTGGAAAGAGGCTCGAAGTTGCTGAGTCGGGAGCTAGTCTCTATAACATGAGTATACTTAGAGTCACGGTTTAGGGTTTAGGGTTTAGGGTTTAGGGTTTAGGGTTTAGGGTTTAGGGTCTCCAGTATAGTTTCAATACAGTATCCTCTTTTTCATTAAGACCCCTATATTCGGGTAGTGTGATGTAGGATGCTTGTAGGATGCTACGTCTTGGTGCCAAGTATGGAAGCTCCAACAGTTGCTGCCGAGATGATATATGGGGGCATCTTGCAGCAGTCTAGAGGTGTCCTTTTGAAAGGTGGCCGTGTAGGTGCCGAAGCTTTAGGAAGTTTCGGGTTAGGGGTTCCAGGGTGTGGGGCCTGTTGAAAGGTTTCGAACGTAGGTTTTGCGAGGCTGGTGGGGGTATCTTCCCCTAAGGGGCCATGTACCCAAATAGATATACTTTGGCCTTAAAGTAGTCCCTATATAAGTACTTTGGGACCAATGTATCTACTATTTGGGTACATGGACCCTCAGGGTTCAGTACTACTAACTGCTACCTATTTGGGTTTAGGGTTTAGGGTTTAGGGTTTAGGGTTTAGGGCATACATCGGATCAGAAGCCCAGGCCCTGAGCCCCGCACAGGACTGGGGCAGGTGGACAAAAAGTTCAGAGAGGCAAACACCAACTCCAAAGCCTCCGACCCCCAAACCTCCCAACCCTGATCACCTTGACCCTGAATGCCGAAGGGACATGGTCTTACCAAGGAACTGATTGTCATCTGACTTAGGATTTAGGTCTTGAGTTTAGGGTTCAGGGCATCATCACAAGAGCAGTGTGCAATCAAATGGAGCTTTACAGCAGCGGCACAATGTGATCGGGCAGCCCTCAACCACAAAAAAAAATGCATATGCTAATAGATATTGCAGTAGTTTATAGGAGAATAATAAAAGTAAGAATAGTAACAATCACAATAATCATAGAATTATGAATAACACAGCAATGTTTTAGTCAGTTTCTGCCACAGTAGCAAGGCGTCCTACGACGCGCCGCCCCTGAAGCGAGCGGCACCGAAAGGAGGCAACGTCATCGGAGGCGCGGTATCGGGTGGTTTGCAACCCGCATCTTTGTAAATGACATTATTGATTCGTGGCCGTTGCTCTTTGCATTAGTCAACATAGTCATCTATGCCTGCTACCACGTTCTCACACACCAGGGTGGAGGATTCAGCAGGACTTCAGAGGCAAAAATGATTAGCGAACCAAACTAGCCCTGACTGTCGGCTTCAGAACAGTACTCCTCCAAGCACAGCTGTAGCCGCTGAAGATGTCACGTGCTGGCTGGGCATTCAATTTCAGGACTCTGTGCGTTACACTACACAGTACAAGCATGGTTATCATAGCACAATGCAAAGGAGCGTTGTCCACATGCCTCGGCATGGTAACCACTTTCGCTGCTACTACCACGACGGCGACTACGATTACGACCATGGCTGCGACAGACGACTGTGACGACGACTGCTACGACTACGGCTGTGGCTGCGTCTCCAGCTACGACTGCGAGTATGGCGACGACTGCGACCGGACTAATGCGGCTATGGCGACGACTACTCAGTACTACTGCTACTGCAGGTGCTTCTTGGCTGCTACTCGCCACGGCACGAGCCACTGCTCTCGCCGCTAGCATTTCTACTGCTGCTGCTGCTGTCACTGGAACTTTCGTGGTGATGATAGTCATGGCAACAATGCTTCTGATTGTGATGATGATGATGATGGGGATGACGATCATGGCGTTGAAGATGACGACTATGACAGCGGTTTTGATGGTGAGGACTGGTTGTGCTGTTGCGACTAGCCTCTTTGTAGTCATTATGGGCACATGTCCATTAAGCCTGATGTCTCCAAGGAAGCTACGACCAGTGGTCGGCGCCACCTCCGCCTAAACGAGCGAGGGCGTCCAGCGAGGGCAAGGGCCCAAACAGGGTTTGGGGGTTGGGGTTTAGCCTTTGCCGTTTCGGTCAGAAAGGTTTACAACGTAAGCTTTCAAAGCTGCAGGGTTTTGGGGCTTCTGGGTTGCAGGATTTTTGGTTGTGGCATTTGAGGTTTTTAGGGCTTACCTTAATCCCAAATAACTTACCTTTTTACGGACATTATCTAAAGAATTCATAATAAGGACCCCTAAAAAGGTAGGTTCTTTAGGGTCCGGTTAGGGTTTAGTTTCAGGGTTCAGGGTCCAAAATTCATCGGCTAGCCTTGAGGATTTTGGAGAGCTGCTTTTATGTCGGGGTGTCGGGTTTTGGGTGTTAGAGGGTTTCGGGTAAAGTCGAAAATGGATCCAGGCGCTACGTCTTACTCGTTCCTTACGACTAGTCATAAGCCGTACCTTAAAAACCCAAAACCCACTTTTTTGTAGGTTCTTATTATAAACCCTAATATTGGATTTATAGGGATCCTACAAAAAGTAGGTTTTGGCTTCTTAAGGTAGGCCTTAGTCGTCGGGGCATGGCTTATGCCGTGGCGATCGGGTGACTTGCAGTACAGAAGCGATCTCCCCCATGCCAAATCGGGCCAACGCAAAGTCCTAAATCCTAAACCCTAGGGTTTAGGGTTTAGGGTTTAGGACAGGGTTTTGTGCATATTGCGACACACGTCATATAATCATGTTGGGGACTCTATGCCAGAAGCCAGAAGCTTGGAGTATTATTATCCCCATGCCCCTGAGGTAACCGTGTAAGGGATCCTAGCACTAGTCCTCCTAAGCCCATGTTCCAAGTTTCTGGGATTGGCGGTAAAGCCTAACCCATGAACCGGGCAGGTTCTGAGCGGAAGCACTGTCTCATGGGGATTACTTACATGATCAGGGGGGACTTAGCAAGAAATTGTATGTAGGACACTCCTGATTATGGCACTTGGAAGTCTACTGACAGATTACAGACTGGCTCTTCCAGCTAGCCCCTAAACTTGCCCTAAGCCCTAAACCCAAACCCAATACAAACCCTATCAATGCCTTTCAACAACCCGCACAGGAACCACTTTGTGCCACCACCCCCAGGCGTTGACACGGTAGCATCCGTGGGCGCAGCAGATGCAGGCTTCGACGAGGAGAGAAGCTGGGAATGCTATCAACATACTACACAGCAGCATAGAAGCCAGAACTTACGAGTAATGTGTTCCTTTGGGTTCCTCGTTATAACTATAATGCCCGTGCTTTTGCTTTCTAAGTGTTGATATACGGGGTTCAGAATGTAGGGTGACTACGGGATTTTAGAAGGGAGCTGAAGGGTTGCGAATGGGTTTTGTGTTTGGGAGCCAGGGTTCCTATAGAGGTTCCTTTCATCGCTTTACCCTAAACCCTAAAGTTTCGGGTTTAGGGTTTAGGGCCTAAACCCTAAACCCTAAACCCCTAAACCCCTAAACCCCTAAACCCTAAACCCTAAACCCTATAGTCCCTAAAGCCTAAACCCGAAAACGTGATGGGGGACTTTTGGGCTTTGGGGTTCAGGGTTTAGGGCTTATAAGGATTCCGCGGCTTTGGGTTTGGGGTCCCCGGCTTACAGGGTTTGGCGTGTTTTTTTGGGTCTGGGGTTTGGGTTTTGGGGCTTTGGAGTTTCGGGTTTAGGGGCTGGTTGCAAGACGCGCCCGGGTTGAAGCCTACCCTGCGTGGCCCAGGTACCGTGCCTATATTGTAACGTACGGGCCTGATAAGTAGTCCCTGTATGAGTCTAGTAGAATGCGACCCGAAGTCCTAATATCAAGACCCCTATGATTGTTTTTGGGCTTGCAGGGGTCCCAATACGTATCCTTTAAGACTACAGCTGCGCGGACCCTTAAAGCGATTGCAAAGCCGTGAATACCTTAATCCGTCAACCCAAGTTTAACCGACATGCCTAAACAGTCAACCCATGTCCCGGCTTACCCCCCGAAATCCTCAACCCCATCCCGAAACCCCAAGCCTAATCCCGCATAGCCAAATCCTCAAGCCTTTTGCCCCGACTCCCAAATCGCATGTCACAAATCTTGCAACTCCTTTTGTTAAGTCCAGGCCAAGTCTCTGTGTCACCTACGAGACTCCGCGCAAGTCTCCGCGGAAACCCAGCCCGTCGAATGAAGCGCCCTGACACGTTGCCTAATACAAAGGCCGAAATAATTACCGATAGTAGTTTTTTGGGGGGGGTTCTTGTTATAATGATAGTACAATATACCCCCAAACCCTGCTCTAATTATTAAGGCCCCTACATTAGTGAAAGTCGAAACCCGGAACTTTCAAAATCCAAAACACACCTTAGGCGAGATCGAGGTCGAAACCCGAGGAAACGCGTCCAGGAAAAAGACACCTAAGCCCGAAACCTTCAATACCTCAAAAGAGACACCGTTAACTCAGATAAACAGCCAAAACACTTCTAGGAACCCTGAACCCCAGACCCTAAACCCCAAACCCCAGACCCTAGACCCCAAACCCTAAACCCTAAACCCCAAGCCCTAGACCCCAAACCCCAAACCCTAAACCCTAAACCCTAAACCCCAAGCCCTAGACCCTAAACCCTAAACCCTAATGAACCCTGAACTTTAGACCCTAGACCCCAAACCCTAAACCCTAAAAAACCCTGAACTTTAGACCCTAAACCCTAAACCCTACACCCTAAACCCTAAACTTTATTTAGACCCTAACAAGCAAAGCCCCAGGAGTCGCTACATAACTTCTATGCTCAGCAACAAGGTTTTGTGGCTTTCAAGGCCATCTTTGGGTTTAGGGTTTAGGGTTTAGGGTTTAGGTTATGCTCAGCAACAAGGTTTTGTGGCTTTCAAGGCCATCTTCGGGTGCCGACGATGGGGGCTTCGGGCTTTAATATAGGGGCCTAAATAAGTACCTATACGATTTTGTGGGGGGGTTCCTCATTATAAGTATAGTATAATCCCCCCAACAAAGACACTATTCCATTTCTTAAGGCCCCTTTCTACTAAATTACGGGGATCAGGGCTTCGGGTCCAGGGTTTGCTAGGTACCCGGGTGTATGGACCCGTAACTACCAGTAACTGTTGGGGGGGGGGGGGGCTGTTGAAATCCACCCTGAAGCTGATTCATACTGGGTTTCCGTCGATGAAAAGGGTTCAAGTTGCCTTACGCCGCTAAACCCTAAATCACGGCATCCGGCTCAAGGCTTAGTTCCCTAAACCCTAAACCCTAAACCCTAAACCCTTCACCGGCAAGGTTCCACGCTGTTGATTTCAGACTGGTGGTCGGAGGCATAATGAATGGCATTTAGCAGTTACGATAGGGTCTGGGATAGATTTAGGGTTTAGGGTTTAGGGTTTACATGTGCGTACGATGGGCATACTGGGGACTATAGAGTAGACGCCAGAAAGTTGGAATGGTGCCCTTAAGGGAAAAGTATAAGGGATCCTGGCACTACGCATCCTAAATCCATGTTCCAACTTTCTGGGGTTCGCTGTAAGGGATACTATTACTAGTTATTCCGACTCTAATATTAATGTCGATGGTTTGTGATTTGGGGGGTTTTAGTTATGGGATATACAAGACGGCTTCGGGTTGAGAGCCGAGGGTTCATGGATGAGGGTTGAGGGTTCAGGTCTGGCATAAGGCACAGGCGCGAAGGGCGTATATGGGTAGTTTTCAAAGTTAGGGTCCCTTTCAGGGTCAAGGGTGCCCGTACTACATTGGGGGCCTAACAAGGGACCCTAATTTAGAGAACTACCCATATGGGTAGTTGTCAAAATTATGGTTTTTGGGGTACCCTAAACAATAGGTGTGTTGTTACAATAAGGACCCAAAAAGGGACCCTAATTTAGAGAACCACCCATATGGATTCGAGGCAGGCAGTGCGCAGCGGATAAGTGCAGATGCAAACGTTGAGTGATCTGGAGCCCCGCATAAATTAAGGTTCCAGTTCAGGTATGTGAGACCCCTACACACTGAACCCTAAACCAATCCCAAAAGACTCCCTACCCTAAACCCACGCCTGTGAAAATCCTAAGAACACTTGTTTTGCAGCCCTCTACTTGGAGGTTCATGGCTAGTTATATGTGGGGTGTATAAGTCCCCTACCATGGGTTATATTTATAGTTGCCTAAACCCTAAACCCTAAACCCTAAACCCTAAACCCTAAACCCTAAACCCTAAACCCTTACTTATAACCCCACTTGTAACTGCCCATGAACCTC